TGCTTGGTTCAGTTATAGGAACAGAATCTGAATGTAAAAAATTCCTCGAATTTCAACAGAATGAGCAAAGCAAGATTTTGAAAAAACTAACGAAAACCGCTAAAACCTCCCCTCAAAACGTTTATGCCTGCTATACTAAAGGAGATCAAGAAAAGTTTTCATTTCTTGCCAGGACAACGCCTAACACTATGGAAAACTTAGAAATATGTGAAAATATTATCAAAGAACAATTATTACCAAACCTAGTCGGTAGAGACATTTTAAACCCCCAGTTCCGTGAGATATCTTCCTAACCCCTTAAAATGGGCGGACTTAACATCAAGCTGCCATCCGATCATGAAAGCTACCTAGAAGGATCTATGCAAACATCACTAGTACTGGAATCTCAAGATCTTATTACAGCAGTAACACAGCAAGAAAAATTATGTACGAAAATCAAAAAATTGAAAACTGATAGAACAAATTGAAAAAAAAAATCTCATCAACTCCTTAAATGAAACAGATAAATATGCAATCGACCTGACCCTGAAAAGGGAGCCTCTAACTGGCTCAATGCTCTACCACTGAGAAGATACAACTTCAACCTGAATAAATCTGAATTCAGAGATGGTATTTACTTAAGATACGGATGGGACTCAACCAAAACCCCAATCACATGTGCATGTGGTGCTGATTTTAACTTGACACATGCGCTTCACTATGCAAAGGGTGGTTACACACATATAAGACACAATGGAATTAGAGACACATTCGCCAACCTCATGAACGAGGTTTGCCATGACGTCGAGATTGAGCCGAAACTTCAGCCGTTGCAAGGCGAAAGCTTTGTCAACAATTCAATTACAACTGAAGATGAGGCACGACTTGACATTAAAGCAAACAGTCTCTGGGGTTCTCGATTCAGCCGCGCTATCTTTGATGTGAAAATTTTCAACCCCCATTACAAATTATCGCGAAAACTGCATAAGGATGCATACAAATACCACGAAACGCTGAAGAACTCCGAATATCAGCAAAGAATTTTAAACGTAGAGCAGAGTAGCTTCTGCCCGCTACTTTTGGATGCACCGGTGGCGCTGCTCCAACAGCCACGCGGACGATGCAGCGATTGGCCGAAAAACTAAGTGAGAAAAGACAAGAAATCTATCCAGAATCTATAAACTACATAAGAACTAAAATAAGCTTCGTGCTCCTGAAGAGCTCTATACTTTGTATAAGGGGGTGCAGATCGCTACGCAAAGTTAAATTTATCGACAACTCCAGAAGCGCTATTGTAGAAGAAGGACGGCTAAGATAAATTAACATTACGACGATGCATTTAACGCTGATTTATGACTTCATTGCTGATATATATGCATTTTTATATCGCTGGTATGGCCCCATCCAGCTTGTGCACTTACCGTAACTAAACGGAAGGGGCCCTTTTGTAATTTAGTTTTTTTACAGCTCATTTAAAGCTTCGGTATGATTGGTAATTTCTTGCGTCAATGCTCACTTAGGTAGATAAATGCGATGGTTGTGAATTAAGTTTTAATTTTAGTTGAAACTGCAATGTAAAATGAAAAAAGAAAAACAATGGCTCAAAAGGTGATTGAAAAAGAAAACAGTGTATTAAGCAATGCATGACATCAAACAACCTCTGGCTGCACTGTTATATATCTACTTTCAAGATCAAATTGTTCTGAAAAAATGTTCTTTCTCATAAATCTATGAAATTCAAACCACGCTTTAGCCCAAGTTTTCCCGTAGAAAGGGAAATTTTAACTAAGAGAATACGATGCTTCGTTGTTATGTAATTCCAATTTCAGTTGGGTGTGCGGTGGGGTTGGAAGACTTCTTTTCCATACACTAATTTTTTTTAGCTTGTTTAGCTTTTGACAAATTTGTCGCATCTCGTCTGAAATGTTCGAAATAATTGTGACCTTCAAGCTGAAACTATTTAGAAATAATTCTTTGAAGTTCCATATTTGCTTTTTCGCCGGCGTTCAATATTTTTTTGTTTTTTTTCTATTGAGAAATTGCATGTCAGATTGCTGCTGGATAAAAATTGTTTTGAAGTTAGGAGCTTGAAGTTATATTTATAAATTCCATATTGAAAATTTGGTTGTAGTTTCATCTCTGTTTTACTGTCTCGAGATCAGAATTACTTCAGAAATTTAAGACGTCTGATTAAACGTTATTGATGCCGAAAGTCATAAATACCCACATTCCATTTCATTGATCGTTTTTTTTCAGACAAAATGTCAACTATTCCAGAAACTCAGTTAAGGAAAAATCTTGAAGACCAGCTTAACCGGTTGTTAGTTCAACTTCGTGATATAGATGATAACCGGTACCTTTGTTTATATTCCTGTTTTGTTGAAAATTTTGTCATACAGAAGTCAGCTAACTCGAAATTAACAGTCTAGCTTGGTATTTATTATAAACAGGTTGCAATTGCAATGCAACTCAAATTGCGAAAGGATTTAATTGATGGGTAAAAAGGAATCAGGCAGCTTGTTTATTGGGCACTTCCAATCTTTGTACCACGCATTCACACGAGTTTTTTTTTTCATTTTTTCCTTCCACTATTTATCGTTGCTAAGCAAGGGTGTTGCAATCGGGTACTAGACGTTTTCACGTGAATAACTTTATTCCTAGAATGGTCAATTTAGTAGCTAAATTTCATGAAAATTTATCTGATAGGTTTTTATCGACTTATTGTCTAGAGCGTATTTTTTGATCCAATTTAAAAACAGTTTTTTTTTCTATAACTGAAAGTCGCGTTTATTTCTCGACGAGTGTAAATTTTGAACTACGCATAATAAGATAATGATCGCAATAAAACTCATCGAGCAACCTCAATTCGGAAAAAGTGCCATGTAAACAATACAATCTTTTACTGATTTTGAGGGTTGTGGACTTCGTTTATTCTCATGCGTCACGTAAATAAAATGGATGGAAGCACTCAAGGTGGCGTTATTATAGCTGTTTCTAACAAATTTCTGCAGCTCAATGCTGTTCATTGACATTCAAGAAAGCTGTAAAAGGTTACATAGCACACTTGGAGCCCTAGAGATCCTTGCTGCTGTTGTTGTTTTGTGAATTCTTATCACCACGTTATATGACACTGATCCACAAGCTCCTAAGATCATGTGAAACGTTCCGCAAGACAACGTGACCTCGACTCTTAACCTGCACCTAACTGGTTGTAAGGATTGATTACAGAGTCGAAGGTTCCCACTGCTAGAAATAGTTCCAACGGTGATCTCAATTCCTCCCACAGAAGGCCCTTCTTCAGAGAATAAGGCAGACTGGTTGCTGCCAGCGTGGAGTAGCATGATATGTTATTCTCGCTTTGGGACCTCCGTCGACTCTCCTCCGAAGCTGTCACCGCTTTGGTAAATGACTGTGATTCGCCGTCAGTAGACCCTACTGGACGTAGAGCGATACTGACGTTGTTCCTGTCATCGCGGGGGAGAGACCCTTGCTTTAGTTGATAGGATTGATGCTGCGATTTTAAATCGTGAGTTGACCAGAATTGAGATGTTGATCAGTTGTTTTGTGGATAATAAATTTCTAATAGGTTCTTTGGATTCATTGCTGTATGTCAGTGAAAAGCGTTCGAGAACCGACATTTCACATATCAGAGATGCAGTAGCCAACGAAAAGGTCACAGTGGAATTTGTGTCATCTGAAACGTTATCAATTAACGAGTGTATAAGATCCTGGTTTTTACGTTATACTTAACCCCTGCAACCCACCGGGAAAAATTATGAACTTATAAACGAGGGTTCAAAACCCATGGAGAAATCCTAAAGCCTACACTACTACTACTACTACTACTAATGAGTTATGACACTCGGAAAAATCAATTTCTTTGTTTTTCTTCGTTTTTTGCTCGCTTGATAGACAAGCTTCACGCGTACTATTTTCGCTTCAGCCGTTAAAGTTGAAGCGAGTACATGACTGACAAAAAATGAATGAAATGACCTAATGCTTGTTTTCTTGCTGCGGACTTGGTGAATTGCTTCTGAGTTCGTTTAATTATGAAAAAATCATGATTATTTCATTTTTTTCATGCCTTTGAATATTGTCATGTCTTAGTTCAAACAAAAAGTGTCGAGGCAAGTGTTCCATAACAAACCTTACACCTTTTTTCACAACTTTTACTGTTTCAATCAAATTCTACCTCCGGTTGATCCGAATAATTCCAGTGTTTAAATTTCAATTCAATAAGTTTATAGTTTTTTTTATTTGACTCTTTCTATGAAATTATCCATGTATGGTCTAGATTAAATGAACTGTTTAGACTCAAGGTCAAAAATTAGACCCTTACAACTTGCAGAAAAACTGAATACGATCCGGCATGGAGTCGAAGCCGATTCTTCGAGAATCTAATGGTTACTTGTTCTGTGAATAGGTCCGTCGTAGGTCAGTCAATTTTTTGGCATCGATGGCAAACTCATCCAAGATCTGTTCTTTGTGAGTAACTGCTCGTTATTCGCTATTCAATTGTCTTCCCAAACCACAGTTTTTCTTGCCTTTGGTCCATGGATAAGCCGCGTTATATTGTTTGTTGTGAGACCTCAAACCACTCAATTGCAGCTCTTTTTTTAATATCAAATAGAAAAAAAGCACATTTGAAAAACGAGCTAATATAGTTACTTAAATGCAGTAAAAACCGCCGAAAGCAAACTTTATTTGAATAATTCGGCCCGACTTCTTAAAATCTATTGTATTTTATAAAAATGTCACTGCACAAATACCTAATTCTATTTAGCAAAGTTTGGCATCTTAAGTTGTGTTAATTGACCAACAATATTTCAAACTAAATTAGCTATACCCGTTTTTAACTATCAGAATGTCGCAACTTAGTTAAAGAATTGATTGATGTAGTGCAGAATTGATGCTTTTCTTTTAATTAATATACGGTTGAATTTTCGATTAATGCTCTTGACGATTGATATAGTTTTGATTGTGTGACAAAAGTAGAATTCGCGAAATTGTTTAGAGATGAGATGGAGGCGGACGAGTACGAGGAAATGAGATACGAGACAGTGAAGCAACTTGAGGAGTTCCAGTCTTCATTGGACAACATATCAAACGTCACTTTGAAATCAGATCTGGAACGATTCAAACAGGTTCGTAGATTTGTCAAACAGCTGTTGATTTGTGTACTCAAAATTCATTTTTGATATTTTTAAGGCCGTGACAGCTGCTATTGCAGAAGCTTTCCGAACACCAGAAGTTATACGATTTTTCACTAGAAAGGAACCTGGGCAACTTCGACTCAAGCTGGAGCAGGTTGGCTATTTACGAAGATTTACGCCAAAGAAAACTAAAGACTTTTTAGTAGTTTGAATCACTCATCGAATCCCCTTGCGCCTAAGCAATGATGAATATTCGTGGATGTCGATAACTATCACCCACCCGCAAAGTGTGTTTTGAACAGTGTGGTTACTGTATACAATGTTCGCATATGATATGTTTAACTGTTAAATTAGTCCTATATAACAGATGGATGTTCTTTTTTTAGGTGGATCACACTCAAGCATGCTTGATTTTTTAAGGGTACATCGGTGTTGCAAAAGGTCAAAAATAGGCATTTTCATCCAGTCACGGGACATAGAAAGTCATGTCTTAAACTGCCGAAGCAGTTCGAACCTTGGGATTTAAAAGTATTCTTCTAGGTTCCTTTTCAGATGAAAAAATACTTAAATTTTGTTAAGCTCATACAAAAAATTTAACTGAAAGTTCAGCTACCTATTAAGTAAAATGCCAAAATCTGAGTTATTTTTTAATTCCTAACAGTAGTTTTTTGTATTACTTTTTATGAGAAGGTTAACCTATATGACGTTCTAGCTTAGATCCTTAGCTTTCCAACGAACACTTTCAAGTCCAAAGTTTTGCACTGCTTCTACTTTTTACAGGGTTGCTTACCTCTCTGACGCCTTGTAATTGAATGACCGAACGACGCCTTGAAAATAAAAAACACGTTTTTCACGTTTTTTATCCGTCTTTGTTCTGATGAACAGTTTCATCCATCATATGTCAAAATTTCATCCGTGAATCTTTGGTTATTGTAGAAAAAACCGCAGATGCCTGAAAAATTGTTTGTTCCTTTTGTCGGTGAAAAACCGAAAGTTGCAATTTATGTGTCCCGTGACTGTTGCTATCTTTGAATGGGATCGAGACAGAGTTGGTATAGTTTATAAAATATGAAAGTCAGTGATTAAAAATGATCATCCAAGTATTCGCGCATGCATCAATATCGCATTCGACGCTTCGTCACATGGGGCCTCAATTTAGCTAGAATTGAGGCTCATTGTATATAAATATCTGTATGGCCCGTTGTTTCAGATAGAACGGGAGCACACATTCAGACAGATAGACGACGCTTTTTACAGTTCAACGAGGCTAGAAATCCTCTTGGCTCTCAAGAAATTGGGCGAGAAGGTGACTGCTTTACTTTTTACTTTTCAAGTTTCCAACTAGACCTTTCTTGCATCAAGCGTTCTTGACTTCGTACAATTGTTATTTTTACTTGAACAGCGCTGGCCACTTCTCAATTGAAGTTCCGATTACAGCTGGGAGCCGATTTTGCTTAAACTGATGAACTTTGTTAGAGTCAATCAACGCAGTGAAAACTCTTCAATAGCAATAGGTCGTGATGATTTCTTTTTTTTCAGCAAAAATTCTTAAGGTTTGTTCGCACTCAAATTCGATTTTTTTTTTCGCATTTTGACTTTGGTTTTTTCATGTTCGGTTCTTTTTCTTCGTTTACATTAGCAAGCATTTGGTGGTCTTTTTGCTATAATCACGATTTATAGCATTGGAAATTTTATAGCATCTGTTGTCTGCTTTATTTTTTGACTTTTTCTTATTTCACTTTATAAGAGCTACTTTTTGTCCTTTTCTTGCTAGTGTTTGCGAAGCACAGCTCTCCTCTGTGTAAAAAAGGCCAGCTCTGCTATCGAACATAGAAAGGGTAAAGGTCATGAAAAACGCGATCGAGTCCTACTTTCGAAAGCGGATTTTTATTTTCAGATTTTCCAGTGGAATAAATACTTTTCATATTGCTCCTGTTTGAGTAATTTTTTTATCCAAAAGTCAATCTTAAATTGTTCTTCAACTTCAAAGATGTTTAATGCCATCTATTTCTTTTTCGAAAGTTGATGTTTTCTAAAAAAACATGTCTATTTTTCTGTTTCTCCGTTCCGTTTCCTTGCATCCATTGAATCTTTTCCACTGGCTGTTGGCTATGTTTTTTAGTCTTTTTTATTGTACACGCTGTAAATTAATGGTAGTTGCTTTTCGCGAAGCAGCATAGGCAATTCTGAAGGTTGTAGCCGTTCAGTAGCCATAATCTTTGATTAAAATGATGTTTTCGGGGATTTTAGAATGATGTAGATGTTTTTTCTTGTATTTTTTGCCGAGAGTTTCGCTCGCTAGTAGTTTACTTTTCTGGATTTATTTTGTTTTAACTTTTCTTTTTAATTGAAAAAGCGACGAAAATATTTTTTCGATATTAGTTTTTATGCTTAATTACACTAGCCAGCTTGCGAGCGTAATGTATTAGTACGAACTTTCTTTTTTCCAACCTAACTTGCAATAAAAATGCTCACTTATTTGGTGGCATTTTGCTATAATTGCGATATGTAGCATTCGAAATTTCATAGCATCTGATCTCTGCTTTATTTGTTGCTAGTGTTTGTAATTTACTAAACGTCCGTGGCTGAGTGGTTAGTGCACGAGGCTCTTAAAAACCAGGTCGCAGATCGAATCCGAAACGTAGCCGAATTTTTTTTAAATTCGAAGCTTATTTCTACTTTTTATCGTACTTTATAGCTGCTTTTTTTGTCTTGTTCTCGCTGTATTTGCGAAGCGCAGTTTCGAATCTGTGTCGTTGTTGCTACTCTACCAGGCTGGCCAATTGGTCTATTTTCATTTTCTATAGACTGGTCTATAAAAGTCATTATTTGGTCTATAATTTTTCGGAAGTCAATATTTTCTAGAGACTTTATATCTGCTGGGGTTGAAAGATGCTGGCGACATAGTCTTCAGATACGAATGGAAAAGTGCAAAATAACTTAAAAGTTTTTTCTTCAAAAATCGAATTCTAAAGAAGTAAACAATTTTCAACCCACTTTTTTCGTTTTTCTTGTTCTTTCACACTTTTCAATGATTGATCCTGGGTAATATTTGATGTCGCTGGAATGGTTTCAATTCTATCTGAATTAACTCGAGCGTGCTCATAAAATCTAATTGTTGCAGCTGGACACAACGGAAGAAGTGTTTCTGAGGAGAGCAACTGCTGCAAGTGAAATACTACAAAAGATTGTTCAAGGTAGTTGATATGCGTTGTTAAGAGCCGAAGAGTATCTTAGGAAAAAAACTATCTTAGATTTACTCTGAATATATTCACTGCATGATAACGAAGTGGACTGAGTTGATACCAGAATTGGTTTTGAAAAGTCACTGCTTGTTAGAAAGAGTATAGATAGTTTAAAAAAAATTTGAAAAATCAGATCTGTGAAAATCCCATATGCCTGTCTTTGATCAAAAAATTGTTGAATATTATGGTGTCTTTGTTTTGCAAAGAACCATGTGCTTACAGCTGATTTGGTTCTATTGATATTAGTCTGAGGTACTAAAAAGCAATAATTTCCGGTGACATCAATTGTCTTACCAGGCATTGAGCCTCAGTTTGAATAAACATCTCAGAGCAATGTACATGAGAGCATGTTGCATTATAAAGAAGGAAGTAATTTCCGAATAGTGAACCTGAATCAAGGGTGAATTTGTTTTCAGGTTTTAAATGTTGGTTGTAATATTGAAATTGTAAACTATAATTTCTGAATCATTCCTCTTTTAGATGACTCCGAAGAGGACAAAATTGCATCATCTGTGAGTGGTCTGAAGAAATGAAAACCGACAGAAAACTGCCTGTTTATCAAACTCAAATGTATATCTTATAATTTACCCGTTTATGTTTAGATATTAGCAATAAATTATTACGTGTAAAAGAACAAAGTGGCTTTCACTTATAGGGATGATTTTTGTGTTTCATTTTACAGGCTTTGATTTTTTTCGGATTTGACTTATGATTTATTTTTAAGTTCTTTTCTTTTGTTTACACAAGCAAAGCTTGTGTTATAGTATGAACTATCTTTTTTTCAAACTTAAGTCGCAAATATTGTTGCGATAAAATATGTTCATTTTGAAAGTGTTCATTTTGATCAATAACCAGCTATTAAGTACATCCAATGCTAAGGATATTAACAGACTATTATTGTTCCGACTTTCGCAAGGAAAGTAACGGAATATTTGTGCCTGGGGGTGGTTTTTAATCTTCAAACTAATTTGACACTTCAACTATTTCGATATTTTTAACAATTTCAATATTTCACCTGTGATCATTTCTCGTAAAGTTATGGGGGTTGAAAAATTGCCAATTTGGGACAATTAACGCTGCTATTAACTTGTAAGAGGATATTTAATCCAGCATAGAAATTGTTCCAAATAGTTTGAAGGAAGCTTATTTGCCATAATTAATTGTTACTAGGAGCGAAATTTATCACTTTGTGCTTACTATGGCGTGTGGGGGGATTATTTTCACAAAAATTCTCATGAAAAAAAAATCATTTTTTATTACATTTATTTTTTTCATGTTATTACTGCTCCGTAGACTGCTCTATAAGTTTTAAGGCACTTTTTCCCCACCTGCAATTTTTTACTAGTAAAGTTACTGTTGAAATTGTACGATCATTATGAAAATTGACATGCGGTCAAATTAGGATGTGGCAAACACATTTGGTCTTCATATTTAACCTTTTAAAACCACTCTTTACACCATAAAATTGATGGCCGTGGTAAGTGGGGGGGGGGGGGGAGGGCAATTTTAGATGCTATTCAATTTAGGAATGTTAGTTAATTATTATTTTTTTCAAATTGACTGGTACTGCTAATGCGTCATCATTGGTGTGCGTCACTTAAGAAACTTTGTAGACTCAAAGTTTTACTCATTCAGTTTTTCCCAGTAGAGTTATCGGTCAATGTTTTGCTCGTGTATGCGAAGTTCAACTTCGCCTCTGTGTAAAATCAAGGCAAACTCCTCTATCGAACAGCAAAAGTGTAAAGATTGAAAAAACCTGAATGACTTCTAGTTTCAGTAATGGATTAAATTTTCCGAATTCCAAGTGGAACAACGAAATGGTGTATTTTCGACGATGTATCTTTTCTTCGAAATTCAAAAAGTTTTTCAATCCAGCTTTTTCGTTTTCCTTGTTCTGTTTCAAGTGTGTAGGCTAGTTTTTTATTAAGTAAGAGTCATGGACAGTGAATACATATAGTTTTTTGTATTTTTTTTTAGCTTTTTTTGTTTCAAGAGAAAGTCAACATTTATTCACGCTCAAATTCGAGGTTTCACTTTTGCTTCTTTCCAACTTCATTTCATTTTTTGCTGGAAAAGAAGGGAAACTCCGCTATCGAACATGCTCGACTTTTAGTTTCAAAAATGCATAAAAATCAGATTTCGTAGCGGAAAAAATCAATCTTTTGAACCTGTTTTCTCAAATAATTTAAGTAATTGTTTGTCAAACACAATCAAATTTCAGGCCGTTTTTTTTCGAAACTTGAAGTTGTTTCATAAAACATGTGTGTACCTTTTCTTTTTCATTGTAATTTTTCCAACTATCTGTTGACAAGTTAAGATTATTGAGAAATAATTCCAGAATTAGTCTCGCTGTTTGTAAGCTGTGATGAATCACATGTGTGAGTTTGTCTGTTTTTCGAGAAAAAGTCCTAAGTTTGTTATGGCTGAAAGTTGATTTTAATTAGCCTTCTTTTTCGAAAAAGAATGCAAATTTCGCTCTCCAATAGAAAAAAAATCAAATGTTCAGAAAAAATGTGAATATCTAGCTTCAAAAATGGACGTTGATTTTCTCAATTCCCCGCTGAGTAACAAAATTACATTTTGATCTCGTTTTCTATAAAAAGAATAATTATAATTTAAAAAAACCAAGCACATCTTTTATATATTTAAAAGCGGGCTCTTGCCACGTTTAAGCTTTTCAAGGTAAATTTTTTCATGTGTAACGAAAGTCTCTTTTTTTCTTAAGCATATTGTATATGACAATGCTTAAGACTTTTCTATAATTTTCCAGTTGTATTCAGTGTTTATTTAACCGAGTTAAAAATATTAGAATAGTCGAATGTTGTCAACCTAATAGTGACATGTTTTCAGGGTTTCCCCAGGGGTTGAGAAAATAACCTCCAATTATGTATACCTGAATCATTTAAGTGTACGAGATACGCGAATTTATGTGTTTTTTTTTAAATTATCAGAAAACCCAAGTTACAAAGTAATTCGTAAAGTTTGAGATTCCCGGTTCAGCATTCTCAAGAGTTGAGAATCTTTCCTCCAGATATGACTGCTTGAAAATTTGTAGTTCTTGAGATAGACGCTTTCTGATTTTTTTCTTCATTTTTCTAATTGAAATTAGTTATAAAAAAAAACTTATCGAACTTGAAATTCTCAACCCGATAGTGCGGTGATATCCAGGTACACTCAAAAGCTGCAGTTCTAGCGTCCAATTATAACGGCTCAAATCTTTTTGTTTTCTTGATATGGCGTTTTTAATTGAAAAAAACTTAGATTTAAAAAAAAAACTAACCCAAATTGAATTTCTCAACTCAATAGTGGTGTGCTGTAAGGGTATCTTCAAAAGTTCCTAGGATTTCGAGGTTTGGCGCTTTTTTCTATTATTTTTAAATTTTTTAGATCAAATTTACATAAAAAAAAACTGACCGAACTTGAATTTCTCAATCCTGAAGTGGGGTGCTATCATGGTACACTCAAAAGCTGCAAATTTTATGTATACCCGAATCATTTAAGCGTACGAGATACGCCAATTTATGTATTTTTTAAAAAATTATCAGAAAACCCAAGTTACAAAGTAATTCACAAAGTTTGAACGGTTCCGGGTTCAGCACAATTCATCACAATTCTCGGTTCATCACAATTCCCGGTTCAGCATTCTCAAGAGTTGAGAATCTTTCCTCCAGATATGACTGGAAGAAACGTTGAACAAAACAAGCGCTATTTTAAACAATCTACCAAGCTCAATTCCTAAGTATTCGAGTTAACTTACTCGTTGTACTAATTATTTTTCAGCAGTCCATATTTTCCAAGGCACTTCGCCGAAAAACGAGCTGGTTCCGGTGAACTTTTGCTGCATATTATTAACAGTTTAATAGCAAGGGTTTTGCAACCGGTACTAGATTTTTTTTTTCCACGAAAACAACTTCGTTCACAGGACAACTCAAAATTGTCGTCATCTCCAGGTCTGTAATTTTGTCTACTCACAGTCAAGTTTTGATAGTGTCTGCATTTTAAATTCCCGTTCTACTTAAAAATTTTTGTCAGTTGTAAATTTACCAACTCAGATTTCAATTTAGCAGTTTTATTCGTTACTATTTTTTTTTGTAATTCGGACTGAAAAGTTCTGGTTTTCTTAAAATAATGATAATGAAATAATCTATCATGAAAGCCTCATTTCGACTCGTTTGTAGTGAAAAAAACTTAGTTATCTAGATGATTTGAGGGAGATTTATTTTTTTTGATTTATTAAATCTCTGAAATTCTTTTTTTGGCCTTTAAAGTGACAATTAGGGTATTGTTCTTTTTTGTGATTTTTTTCCGATGCTCAAATAGTTTTGGTTTGAAATATTTTGGCGTATTTTTTATGTGAAGGAAATTACTTGAAGACAAAATTAAGACAAAAGTTTGACAGTTTTAATATATCAGTTTTTTTTTGACATTTTTCAAACTCATTATTTAATTTTCTGTTGGTCAGTTTGTCATCCTATAATTGTGCTGTTTTGCAAGTGGTGCGCAGATATGCTTCGCCTCCGTTTTCAATTTCTTCAGCATCAGTGGACTACTTGTGCAGGGCACTCGGAATTGATGCTGAAAACCTTTCATTCGATTCCCCTGGCGAGAATTTATTTTCGAAAACTCAGTAAAATTCATTTACTTTTGCTTATCTTTTTAAAGCTTTTCTTTGCAAAATTTAGCTAGTTTGCTCAGTGGGGTTTTAGTGTCTTTCTTCTATTTCTGCTAGATTGCCATGCTATTTTTGCGATGTATAGCAAAGAGTCAACCTGTTTTTCTAATCAAGTCAACCTATTTGTTTTTTCTTTTTTGTGATATTTCGTCCGTTTTCGTTTTCCAGCCTATTGAAATAAATAGAAACAAAACTATAAATAATTGGAATTCTGTTTGTAATTCTATAATTCATTTTGACTTTTCATTAGCTCGCCGGATGATAATGGCGTCATTGTTAGATTAAATTGTGGGGTATAGCTCTAATTCTAAAAACTACTACTACTTAAATATTTCTTATTTTCTTTGCGACTAGTGGAACATGTAGAATAAGGATCTTTCAGAGCGTAGCCAAAAACCAAGATGCACAAAAACATCAACCAACGTTTGTGCTGGTCAATCGTCCTGTTTTAGTTGTGTAGAGGTAAAGTAAACGAACAACAATTTCTTTTTCTAGGATTTATCAATTTCATTTCCTCGGATTGCATTATTTAAAAAGACTACCCAGTCGGTAGAAGGGATTGATGTCCTTTTGTTTCGATAACCAAAGTTTTTACGACAATTTTTTTAAAAAGAATATGTTGAAAGACAAAGCATTTTTTTAAGCAGTTTTTGTGCTTTTTTAATTTTTCTCTGCAAATTTTCTATCTGCTCAATTTGCAATCATTTCAGAGTATCATCGATTATAAAAAAAAACATTTCAAAGTGATTTTGATCAACTAAATAGTGAAGTTGAAATTCTTTGGTACATTTTGGTTAATTTTACATTCCAATGTGAATGTGAAAAGCTTGTGTTGGCTCCTAATCTAATAAATATGTAAAA